CATTGCGCTTCAGGATCTTCGGAAGCCGGTAGAATACACACATGTACACACTTTACGCATACTACAAGCATTAAGTGAACATACATTTAGCGCATACACAAACATGGAACATACAAACGTCAATACAACCGCACAGTAACCCCAACACAACACCCGGGCTCTGCGTTTCCGTCTTTTATACTAGTCGTTTTGAACGTCCGGAATTTCTCGGTGACTGCTTAAGCAATAAAAGCTATTCCCACCATCTTGAATTTTTCCAGCAATGTCATACCTCTGAGAGTATTTTGAATGGCCCAGAGGATGAATCTCTTATTAAAAACTAAAATCTCGATCATGCCATAATTATTTATGGCATGATCCCTGAAGCAGGGGAGCAACTAGTTCCTCCTTCGCCTCCGTCGCCTCCGTCGGCTGCATCTCATTATGGCGGCCCTGAATCAAGCAAATCGAGCTCAATAAGGCCTAACGAGGACGCTACGTCTTTTGTAGGGGGCGAGAGGAGCAGCAAATAAAAGCACAACACGAGCTTTCCGCGAACTGTGTTTATTTGTGAAGCCAGACTCCCCCCGCAGGTACAGAAACTTGCGTTTAAAAGCAGTTACTCATTGTTCTCGTCGTCAGCACTGCGATATTAAACGGAGACAACCGATACTCAGTTACTTCGCGCACTTTATGTCTTACCTTTGATGTTCTTCGAGTCACAATTCCTTCGTGAAACGCGCATCACGGAGGAATGGCAAACTAATCCGCGATATCAAAACCCGCCCTCAAAAGAACAAACTCGAAGCCGCTGTTTATCGCGAAGCGTGAAAGAGCGTGAAAGAAGGTTAAATCGCTTGCCACCACATGACACGGTCAAGGAGTAATTGCAAATAGCTTGGCTAGGTGGCGCTAGGTACCGCCCAATTAATGTTAGACAAAAGACTTTTTTTGCTTTTTCAGGTCATCATTGCGCTTCAGGATCTTCGGAAGCCGGTAGAATACACACATGTACACACTTTACGCATAATACAAGCATTAAGTGAACATACATTTAGCGCATACACAAACATGGAACATACAAACGTCAATACAACCGCACAGTAACCCCAACACAACACCCGGGCTCTGCGTTTCCGTCTTTTATACTAGTCGTTTTGAACGTCCGGAATTTCTCGGTGACTGCTTAAGCAATAAAAACTATTCCCACCATCTTGAATTTTTCCAGCAATGTCATACCTCTGAGAGTATTTTGAATGGCCCAGAGGATGAATCTCTTATTAAAAACTAAAATCTCGATCATGCCATAATTATTTAAAAAAGCAATAAATCAAGCCGCTCCAATGCCGCTCAAAGCCATGAGCTTGTTTCCCCACACGGCACGTCGTAGCCTGTATTCCTATTGTAGTGTTTGTTTTTCTGTTTGTGCTGTTCGCGCACGGCTGCAATTACCGTCTTGAATTCATCTCTGAAGAGCGGATACTCACTCAGCTGGACGTGATGCTTTGCGGGTAGAGAAATCGCTTTTCGATCAACTTGAATGCAGTCAAAGCCGCGACTTGCGGCGGGTGGTAAGTGAACGGAGCGACGCCGTGGCGAGCTCCCAAACTTCAAACGCTCATCCCAGCGCGCTACTTGGAGGGCAGTTTCTCTAGGAACGGCAGTTTGTTCAAACAGCAAAATAAAGGGTAGCTTTTTTTCGATTTTACCTACTATACCTTCTTAATGCTAAAATTCCACACTGTAAATATACATACTTTCCGTCATAATTTCGAACTGTTCAGTACTTTCCCCAGAGCGCAATCGTCCTCGGAGGGGAGACAACCGACAGTCACATTGGCTACTGTACGATAGGAGCTTACTGTTCAGACCAACGTTCCAAGACGACTATCCGCACGTCGATTGATTGCACCTAATCCCTCAAGTGGTCTTAAACTGTTTAATGTAAAGCGGAATGTCAACTTGCGATACCCCGCCACCTCCAATCACGGCTTGACCAGCGGCATCAATGCTCGATAGTTTACGTCATATCATCTTATTGTTACACCACTGATACGCGAACACACGGTCACATCGGCGATAATTCCAGTCTTCTGATCACAACGCACAACACTGCCATCACGATGTTGCTGCTATCCTGTTGATACGCAGAAATAAAGAGCCACGTTGATTGCCGGTTGGCACTCGGCATCGGAAAACAGAACCAAACACAGCACGGAAGGCACCCAGGCAGCCAGCAGCAAAACCTGCCTGTCTTGGACGCAGTTCCTGCGATTTCCATAACGTAAAAAACGTCGACACAGTTCCGCGTGGTTCCGCGTGGTTCCGCTACTGTAGTTCCGCGCCAGTCCCGCAATCCGGAGACGGCCATCTTATCCAGTGTACGTAACGCTGCTGGCACTGCTCCGGAGCTTCGCGGTTTCTAGCGGCTTCGTTTGCTCGTATGATAAAATTAGTGGTAAAAACGTCAATTGAACCGAAATGTTCTGCGCGTTTGGACTAGAAGATGGAATTACAGGCGGCCTTCGCTGCCGCTGATGTTCAATCAATTCAACAACATTTATTAAACAACGTGCGCGACGTGCTCGCAAAACGAAACCGAAAGATGAGTCGGGTGGGCGAAAGCTTTCTCCCGTCTGCCTGGAGAAGGAGAAAAACATTTCGTTCCGCCCTTTTTCTCGTGTCCACTTGGGGACGCGTCAGCAGAAGGGAGGAAAACGCGCCGTTGCTACCTTTTTCCTTCATTTTTTCTTCGAGTGTATATGACAGTATATCCGGACTTTAAAGAGGGATGGAAATGCTGCCTCGAGGCGGCAGTTGCACACCACAAAACCTCACACACAACCACTCTCGAATGCAGCTCACACTATGCGGTCTACAGAAAATCTCCTACGCTCTTAGCAGACAGTTCCTTGAGAATTTCTGAAAAGTTGGAACTGAAGGAACAACTAAAAACAAACAACCAAGATTTGACGTATCGCATTAATATAAAAAAGGTTAACTGGCGCCACAGGAAAGCGATACCCTGTGTTCAACTGAATGACTTGGTTCATGTTTGTCAAGGCCTCCCCGGGACAACCTCCAGGTTCATCGGCGCTTTTCGAAATGTCAAGACCGCCGTGCAGCAAGGCATTTTGAATAACATTAGGCGTTTAAGGGTGATATACAGCTTGATTTTGTAAAATTAGAAAGGCTTCCCTTTACCATCCCGGAGGGATGATTCTCAAGATGGAGAAATGTAAGGAGAAAAATGAAGGCGAAGGTCAGCAGTGTAAACGTAGTGAAAGAAGAGAAAAGGTGTCTGACAGTAAAACATAAAAATGGCGACTGTTTTTTTCTAGCTGCCTCAGTTTATTTGTATTATTTCTGGACCAGCACAGGTACGTAGTTACTACAGTAAGTTCAATGCTATGTGCGATGAGTAGAATAATGAGTCCATGCAGTGGGCATTAAGTACCACAAGGAATAAGTAAGAATAAGTATTATACTGAGTATGATGTTTAGGGATGGACCGCAGAAGAGTGTGTGGTTGTTATTGTTGGGCCGTCAATTGGTTGGGAATGTCTCGTAATATAGGAGAAGCTAAGTAAGCGTACCTTGATAGTTGCTTAAGTGGCGTAAGTTAATGTGATGGTACCCGTGGCATATCACAGGAACTTCGATATTGGACCCAACGAAACGCCATAATATCTGGAGGAACCTGTTTGACCTTACAAAACCTTCGGTAGTGCCAAAGGGCCATACCCACCTTGATGAAGCCTGATGATCTCACTATGGATTTGAGCAGTGGCTGAGATGATAGGTTCGAAAAACACCATAGCTAGGATTCTTGGGATGTTGAATACGCTACTTGTAGAATCAGGATTTTTCAACCGTGTTTCAGTCTCAATTCCTTTTTTCATTGCATCGAGAAACGTTTTCTTTATTTAGTTAAGGAAAACGTATATTTTAATGTTGAAGTTGTGAATACTTTTCGTTGTCCTTGGGTAGACCATTTACTAGAAGTGCGCGAGTAAAACATTTTCAAGTTTGCAGCTTTTTTCTCCGGGGCGAAGCTTAAACTATTATTGGGGTGACAAGACTCTGTGCATCAAACACTGTTCCATGACGCCGTCATGTACAGCATTGTCTACGGCACCGACTGTAGTTACAGCAAGTAGAAATTACCGCTATATGTGGGTTTTTCTCTCATCCCTGGGGTTAAATGAGTAGATCACATACCGTTTTCATTTTTTTTTTCAATATTGCTCAACTGACTTAAAAAGTAAAAAAAAAAAAAACAACGGCCTATGAACGAAACGTAATGTTTATGTTTCTCTGAGGGTTTGATCCAGTAGCGTGGGCTGCACTACTGCATAGAAAATTTAATTTGTATGATAAATTTTCGTGTCCAATCAACATATATGAATCACGCAAGTTATATAAGAACCATATAAGGTACGTATCAAGAAAAGCATTAGATATATAATAAATGTATAAGAAATTTGTAAGAAGTTTCTTATATGTTCTTATATTTTGTTACATGTCTTATATAGTTCTTATCTGGTTCTTGTATCTTCCAATATACCTTGCATGTTTCATATGTGATTGTTGGAAAAAAGAAATTTTTCATACGAATGGCTCTTTCCCTGGGGTAGCTCGCGCTTGTAGCGTTGCTGTAGTCTCAGCTTGAGCAAATACTATTCTAGGGAATACAAGACACAGCCCGGAAATTTATCGAAAAGGACGTCAACGAAGATTCACGGAAACACCTGACGGTGGCAGTGGTCTGTTGAAAAACTAACAATGAACACCACTGACACGAGACATTTAGCCTGGGGCTAAAAGAAGACGAGGGGGATGGGGAATCGCGAGCGCGAGCGAACGAGCAGTCGGATAAACCGTTTAACACAAGCCGGTTGTGCTGTTATTCTTTCTCGACCTCAATGTCCTCAACGAGTACCTAGCGAAAGAGCGCCTCAAAGCGCAACAATTATTTGGTGCCGAAACCCGGGACTTGGACTTGAGGAATCAACCTGAAAATGGATCGGCTCAAGACCAAGCGTAAAGTCCGACGCAGCCAGAATACGAAGATAATGAACGAGATAATGACCATGCTCCAGTCCGTCGCCGTTGATGCCTCTTCTCTCGAGAACCTGAGAGACAGACTGGTAACCAGCAACGAGGAACTCCGTAAAGTAAACGAGGAGATCGAACCACACATCAGCGATAGTGACCTGGAGACAGTCTACATCACTGTCGCAGAATATGAAGACGAAGTGGCTAGGACCCTCAGCGAACTGCGCAACAAGATCGCGCGGTTGCAGGCAACGCCAACCACATCCGCTACGGGAGCCGACGGCGACAGGGGCCACCCATCCCAAGCTACGGGAGTGAAGCTCCCCAAACTGCAACTTCTACACTATCAAGGGGAGCTCACGCAGTGGCAACCCTTCTGGGAGCAGTTCGACGCCTCAATACATTGGAACACCAAGCTCTCTGATGGAGAAAAATTCCAGTACCTGCGGTCGCTTCTGAATGGGCCTGCCGCCAGTGCCGTTTCCGGGCTGCAGGCTACGGCAGCGTGCTACAGAGATGCAATAGAGATACTTACTGAACGCTTTAGCGACAAGCAAAACATTCAGCGGGAATATCTGGAGCGGCTTCGAAACGTTCCAATGGTAAAGTCAGTGCGTGATGTCCAAGGACTGCGCAATGTATACAATCACGTCCAGACAAACATTCGCGGTTTGCGCTTCTTGGATGTTTCAAGCGCGACGTACGCCACAATGATGGTGGACATACTCCTGTCCAGTCTTCCAACGGACATCGTTGTGGATTACCATTGACACAAAAGCTACGGAATACCACTTGTAGTTTCCGCCGGCAGAGAGGAGGGGCTAGCACGTCTGGCGATGGAGCAGTCAGCGTCGCTGCATCGACAACGGATGCCGGTGAGGAGCTGGCGAAACTTTTGCGGTTTCTTGGCGTGGAAATCGAGAGCAGAGAACGATCAGCACCGCTCGAGAAAAGACCAGCGAGTGTGCCGAGGATAGCTCCTAAACCGATACAAACTGTTTATCCACCATCAACGTTCGCGTTACAAACCAGCGGGACAGACAAATACTGCTTTTTTTGCAACCAGCAGAGTCACAGTACCGGCGCTTGTACTGCTGACATCGCACTTGATGAAAAGAAAGGAAGATTAGCGCAAGACATGAGATGTTTTCGCTGCACCAAACGAGGGCATCGGCCCAAAGACTGCTGCAGCCAAGCGAGATGTTCTGGATGCAGGGGACGACATGTCTCGTCAATGTGCAATCCTGCTTGGCAGACAACAAGACCAGTTCCGGAAGAGACCGCCAATATACTCACCACCAGTAATACGACTCCTCACCGAGCATCGAGCGTTCTACTGCAAACTTTCAGGAGCTGGGCCGTGAGTGATGAGAGCTGCGCATATATCCGCGGTATTATCGATGGTGGAAGCCAGAAGACGTTCATCAGAGAAGACTTGGCAAGGAAGCTTAACTTGAAAATTATAGGCCAACGAAGCATGAAGCTTAACACCTTTGCCAACAGCGGCTCGGACGTGATAAAACAGAACTTCACACTGGTCAGACTACGCCTTCGAGGCCAGTATGCGATGACGGAGTATGTTTTAAAAGCCGTTGTCGTCCCATTTATCTGCCAAGATCTCATCGAAACACCCGTCGAACACTCGTTTCTTAAAGCGATCACGGGGTCCATCGCTGACGAGTTGATGTTTCCCTCCGTCCAAGCAGAGGAAGGCATAAGCCTGCTCATTGGCGCTGGCCAAATGTGGAGATTGTTGACTGGCGAATCACGCCGCTCATCATCCATCCCCGGCCTGGTGGCCATTTCAACTAGCCTAGGATGGACCTTTCAGGGTCCAACAGGCACCGTGAGAGCCTTGTCGAATACTACCGCGAACTTGATGGTATGCGTGTTAGGAGTGGCATTGACCGCCCAAGACGACGGGGCAGCGTTAAGAAACTTCTGGGAGCTGGAGGCCATTGGAATCAGGGATGAACCGACCAGTACGAAGGAGCAAGATAGTACGGTACTCGAACAATTCACAGAGAAAATAAGTTGGAAGAATGGCCGCTACGAAGTCGCTCTACCCTGGAAGGAGACAGCAACAACACTTGGAAATAATTACATCACTGCCAGGTCTAGACTCCGCAACCTGATCCAACGTCTCAAGCACGATGACTCCATCGCACTATATGAAAAAGCGATACGCAATTACTTTGAGGACGGACACGCGGAAGAGGTGAACGAAAAGTCCTCAAGTGATGGACGCGTTTATTATATGCCTCATCGAGCGGTGATTCGGGCCAACTCGGAATCGACGAGAATTCGAGTGGTGTTCGACGCTTCATCACACGCGCCAAACACCGGATTTCTCAACGACCATCTTGAGAAAGGGCCTACCATTAACACAGAACTTTTGCCGGTGCTGCTCCGATTTCGTACCAAAAGGCCTTCTTGCAGATAGAAATTGCAGAGTATGACAGAGATGCTCTCCGGTTTCTTTGGTTTGAGAAGACACCCAGACCAGGCGAGCCGCTGCCCGATATCAAAGAGTGGCGCATGACGCGAGTTCCTTTTGGAACAACTGCCAGTCCATTCCTACTTGGAGCGACGATTCGTCATCACTTAAAGAACGTGAGTGATTCGAACAAAGATATCGCGGCTCTTTTGCTGGACTCATTTTACGTGGACGACCTACTGATTGGAGCCGCAAGCACCGACGAAGCCCGAAGACTCGCTGATGGAGCACAGACATTGCTCAGAGAGGCCGGCATGGAACTTCGCAAATGGAATACCAATTCCAGCCAACTGCAGAACCTATTCAATCAAAAGGAAGGGAACGTCGATAATTCACCTCACATCACGTCAATCAAGTCCCACGAAGTCAGAAAGGTACTGGGACGGGTGTGGGACAAAACCACAGATTCCTTCACGTTCTCTAGTGACCATCTCTTGGAGATTCTCTCGACAAACATGACTACAAAACGCCTCGTCCTTAGAGCCTCTGCTAGGATCTTCGGTCCCCTAGGGTTCCTCTCACCTTACGTCATACGAGTAAAGATTTTGTTCCAACGTATATGGCAACATGGTCTGGGATGGGATGAAGAACTACCAGAAGCACTACGGCAAGAGTGGACAACGTGGTGCGCCGAGTTAAAGGACTTACCACGCATCATGGCTCCGAGACACTTACAGAATGCGGATGGTGAGAGCAAGCTGGAGCTTCACGTTTTCACAGACGCCATCCCTCAGGCTTATGGTGCCTGTGCCTATCTTCGCGCCGTGGACAGAAAAGAAAATGTCAGCGTCACTCTGGTGTCTGCCAAGTCCAGAGTTGCCCCACTTAAGACGCTAACCCTCCCACGACTAGAACTGATGGGAGCCCTATTGGGAGCACGCATGGCTAAATATCTGTGTACTGTTTTGTTTGGTGTCGTAGTTACGCTATGGTACTGGACAGATTCAATGATAACCCTCGGTCGGATTAAAGGATCAGCAACTGCATGGAAACCTTTCGTCGGTAACCGAGTGACAGAAATACAAGCACTAAGCGATCCCTCTAATTGGCACCACTGCCCGGGCAGCGCGAACCCAGCAGACGCCCTAACTAGAGGGAAGACGGTAATGCAGCTAAGTGCGTATCAGTTATGGTGGTCTGGTCCTGAGTGGCTTTCCTGAGAAGAAAGAAACTGGCCAATTGGCAGTACCTCAGAAGATGAAAACCTCAACGGATTTGATGGGGAGAGACGACAACAGGTCGGGGAAATACTGCTGACCACTGTGAGTGCACCAACCGCACTCTTGACATTGGAGAATTTCAGCAGCTATACCAAGATGCTGCGTGTCACAGCGTGGATAAAACGATTTGTTCAAGGTTGTCGTCGACAGAACAAGTCACCTGAACTGCCCCTAACGGCAGATGATATTAGAGATGCAGAAGCTTTCTGGATCAAGAATGTCCAACGAGAATGCTTCGGCAGAGAGATCCAGGAGCTGGTTTAAGGCGGAAGTATCTCAAAAGGATCGAGAATAACCGATCTGCAGCCCTTTCTTGACGACACAGGAACCTTGCGTACTCGAGGCAGACTTCACCAAGCCACAGCCTCGGAGGAGGTGAGACATCCTACGCTTCTGTTAGGAGACCACCCTTTCACCAAGTTGCTTGTCATGAATGCTCACCTCAGAGTATTACATGGAGGCTTGCAGGCCACTCTGACAGAAATTCGTGACAGATTTTGGCTCTTAAGTTCACGACGAGCCGTGAAGAAGATTATCGCGGAATGTCGCATCTGTCGACGATTCCAAGCAAAACCGGCCACAGCCCCCGTAGCTCCGCTACCACGGGACAGAGTGGAAGAGAGTCAACCCTTTCAAGTCGTGGGAATCGACTTCGCGGGGCCACTGTTGGTCAACTCAGCAGGGCAGTGCGTTAAGGCCTACGTTGCCTTATTCACTTGCGCGACCACCCGGGCACTACACCTCGAGCTGGTATCTACCGCGGCCACGGCGCCATTTCTTTTTGCCCTGCGACGCTTTGTGTCACGAAGAGGTCTCCCAAGCACCATTTATAGCGACAATGCGCTGACATTCAAGAGAGCAGCGAAGGACCTGCCGGCCTTGTGGGGGGCTATTCGCAGTGCAGAATCTCAAGACTTCTGCAGTGTTAACCGAATCACCTGGAAGTTCATTGTAGAACGGGCAGCCTGGTGGGGAGGCTGGTGGGAAAGGATGGTGAGGTCGGTGAAAACGTGCCTCCGGAAAATTCTTGGACGGCAGAGCTTGTCGTTTGAAGAACTAACGACGGTACTGACTGACATCGAGGCAGCGCTGAACTCTCGGCCACTCACCTACCTTCATGCCGATAATAGTGAACCAGCGGTCTTGACCCCCGCTCACCTACTTATAGGAAGGCGATTGATAACTCTTCCAGAGGCAGAGCCAACCCACACGTCATGAAGAGATTCACTAACACGCCGGTGGAAATATAGGCAGAGGCTCATGAACAACTTCTGGGTACGTTGGAAGAAAGAATACCTACTAGAGCTTCGTTCGGCCCACCTTGCACCACCGCTCAGCAGCCGTGCACCGAACGTTGGTGATGTAGTACTGTTGCATGACCGTATCACTCCAAGACATCTTTGGACCTTGGTACGTGTCGTTGAAGTTCTTCCAGGAAGAGATGGAAATGTAAGGGCGTGTGCTGTTAAGCTGCCGTCTGGTTGTGTAATTCGACGGCCAGTGCAGCTGCTCTACCCTTTGGAAACTTTGTAAATCTTATCCCCAATTTCCTCACTTCGTGAGCGGGGGGAGGATGTAGAAAAACTAACAATGAACACCACTGACACGAGACATTTAGCCTGGAGCTAAAAGAAGACGAGGGGGATGGGGAATCGCGAGCGCGAGCGAACGAGCAGTCGGATAGACCGTTTAACACAAGCCGGTTGTGCTGTTATTTTTTCTCGACCTCAATGTCCTCGACGAGTACCTAGCGAAAGAGCGCCTCAAAGCGCAACATGGTCCTCGCATCCGGGACCCCGTCAACCGCGCCGTAGTCCGAGGCGTCGCCTTTGCGCGCTCTGGCGGCGAGAGGAAGGAGGCGGGAAGGGGGCGTCGTTAAATAGACCAGTCTCCAGGGTGGCTCATGGCGCGGCCGTTTTTCTGTCTTATGCAAATAAAGAGAGTGTCCTGTATTCCCCCAGTGAAGTATCTGCTTAATGGTGAACAAATTATAGTGTTTGTAGCATTGGTTTCGCTTGCGAAGAGCTTGAGCTTGAGCTCGAAACTATTCTCACCTAAGAGCATCATCGCCACGGGTATATTTTGCGTTCATAATCTTACATAATATGCATGCCAAGTCGCACACCGAATCAAGATTAGAGAGATCATGCAGGGTCTTCTAACCACAAATAAAAACTTAAATCTCTTCCCAAATTTAAAGTGCCGCAAAGCTCTTGCATTCCTTAAGTCCATCGAACTGTTGTGTGGGACTGGGCACCCCTGTAGTAGGCTTCTGTGCACGACAACTATTCAAATAAACAACGGGTATATTCAGTGATTCTGAATGTAATTTATGCTAGATACCCTAAATTTACTGGTTTTCAAAGCATTACCTTTGTAGACAGAAGTGGATGATGAATTATTCAGTGAAAGAAGTAGTATAGTAGTAGATTGAGGTTTTCTGGCACAAAAGCCACTAAGGCTATGATGCGCCAAGAAATAAAACTATTGCATAAGATGATTTAGGAGCAAAGCTTTAGTAGCTGGTAATTTATAAATTTATGAACATGAAAAATGTGTGACATATGAGCAGGATATTACACTATAAATAGGGCTACAGTATGCTTAAATTGTCAACACTTTCTAAAAACTTAAACACCTGGGCTTCCAAGCAGCACACATTGGTGTAAAGAGACATGCTCCTTGTAGAGCTCGGAGAAGTAAAAACGGTGTTTATCATCTTAAGGAGGACATTCCAGAAGGATATGCAATGCATTTAAAGGTTCCTGGCAACGTTTACATTCTGGAGCCTCATCTCCCCGTAAGGGGTGACCATGCGTGAGCCGCGTGTGCCCAATGCGTAGTCCACAGAGGACTATCTCATAAAACCTGTCTCTGTGCCTAGTACTCTTCCATTCACTGAGGAAGGGCTCAATTATGTGCAGTTTTTTTGAAACCTGCAGGCTTCATTATGCTTGCCACTGAGCATTAACATAATATTTGATTAGGGCACAGTAATCTCTAATTTGTGTACTACTAATGTCTACAGCACGGGTGCCAGAAGTGCCCCCGGCACGATCTACCTCTTCATTTTCTGAATTCCGACATGGCTCGGTACCCAGCAGAATAAAACATTACATACTTTCCTGGACGGTGCTACTATTTTGTTTTGTAATAAAAGAATAAGGACATTGTTTGGGATATGCGATACTTGTTTGGAAGATACGATCTAGCGTAAACAGAAGGCCGTGCAATTCAATAGTGAAAACAGTCGCGGATGAATTTAGCCTACAAACACTTCCTACTGAAGGGCTGATCATGGCGCAGCCAACAAATGGTTTGGTTTTTGTGCCGTCTGTGTGGTAGTGTGAATGAGAATCATGTTCCTACTGGAGTTCGTAAAATTCTTGTTACATGACCTCAGATGTGGTATCCTTCTTGTTAAACTTTGTTGGAAAAAAATCGCAGCGTATGCAGTTAAAATCTCATCGCGCCACCGTCTTTGAAACTGTAGCAACTCGGAGATTACTGTCTACCCTAACTAACTCCGCCACAATCCTACTTCTCATCGCAAATGGAGGGAGAATGCTTGACTTATTTTCGAACGTCATCTGATATTCCTTGTACTCTACTGCCTCCCGGGCTAGATGCTGAGCGATCGATCGTATCTTTAACGAATACATAAATCCCAAGGAGAATCGCCGTCTGTCAAGGGACATCTCATTTCCCTCAGCATAGAAACTGAACACAGGCGGTGTTCGGAAGGCACCTATTGCCAAGCGAAGTCACTGATGATGGGTGGGGTCGAGTGCCTTAACCGCAAATTGTCTAGCAGATGTATATACAAAGTTACATTAGTCCAGACGTGAACGGAACACGGAGCGATAAATTTGAAAACGACATAGAGGATCAGAGCCCCATGTCTTGTGTGACTAAAGTTTTAGGGGGTTCAGTGATTTCTGACATTTTATCTTCAGATTTTTTATGTGATATGTGAAGGAAAACTTATGTTCTTTACTTGCAGGGGTCGGAGCCTAGTGCATCCGTAAAAAAGGTTCCACGGCGATTTCCACTTTACAAGAGTTGCAGACACACACTGTCTTATCAGGAGAAAACCTTAAACCATTTTTGTCTGCCCATTTCAAGAGGTTGTTGATTGCAGTTTGGAGTCTACGTTCACAGATAGAACGATTTCGTGATGAGACAGAGGTCTGAAGATCGTCCACATCAAAGGAATATTGCACAGACGGAGGTATGGACCAAACGACTGAGTTCATCTCGACTATAACTAGAGTACCACTCAAGACACCGCTTTGCGGAACTCCAGCCTCTTGAACAAATTCGCTCAAAATAACCGTACCCAACTTAAAAAAAGGTTCCCTCCGACAGATAGCTCTTTATGGTCGCAAGCATCCTCCCACGTACTCCTATTTCATACAAGTCACGAAGAATAGACCTATTGCAAAACGTACAAGGCCACGACCGCAGGGAATTGTGAGAACCCACGGTACAGATCATGCGCTTTCTCGCCGCGCCTCCGCCACTTCGCGCGCGTCCCGGCAGCTACTGCCAGCCGCCGTTGCAGCCATCCGCCATCCAGCCTATCCGAAGAGTCGTACGTTGTTGGCGGGGTACCGTCTGCGGCAGCGTAAGGGCATCGCGACAAGTGAATTTATTTGAATACGTTATTCGTCGTACCTTGCCTTCAGGTATTGAAGTGTCACCGAATCTATTTAGTTTGCACCGCAACCGTGGCAGGTTTCGACCAGGTTTGACAAAGCGTTGGGGCAGCAGACGACAGAGTCGGTACAAAGGAGAGGGATGAAAAAGGGGCAGCCGCTGGCTCGTCGCTTGCCCGACTCGGCTGCTAAAAAGTTGTTGCCGTGGTAACCTGCGCCTGCTCGCGTATGGCACGTGGTCACGTGGTAGCAGGAGGAGGCGCGTACCAAGGACTCCCATGA